TGTGGTGGGGGGCGGCTTTGTTTACATTCTCCTCTTGATGATTTATATGAGGAATTAAACCCTTCTGCGTAAAAGAATAAAATACCAGTGAGGGTGTGGGATCGCTTAAAACAATGATGGTAAGTGCGAACAAACTCCATCCAAGCCAGTCATTCACTTTATTTCGCCGAGGCAGCTGACATTTGGGAATTTTATACCAATGAAGATATTGTTGGGAAAGCGACAGAACCTGAATATATTTGCACGTGAGGGTTGGACAGACACAAAGGGGATACTAATGTAACTCATTGCAATATGCAGTCGTCAGGGGTCAATATTTAGGCTGTTAAAGTCGTCGCCATGGCTGTGTTTGTACATAATGCGCCAGTATAGTTTTTAGTTAACATATTATCCTTATAGAAATACCTTCAAACTTATGCTCAATTACTGCTAACAAAATTCACGGCAATAACTTACCACTGTCATTTCACTTTACCGTCGACCAAAATCACCAACGACATACTTACATTACTGCTATCACAAGCATCATAAAATGAAATAAATCCTTAGTTTTTCCAGAACAAAAATGGGAGGGGCAAATACCTCACCCTAAAGAGCATGACATCGGTTTCCAGGACGTTTTAAGTGATGTCAATATCCCACAATGAATCACGTTTACTGACCTCTATAAAATTTATTTCCTCGCAATTTTTCACTCAGACCAATATACGAGTATACTGTGCATCATATCCCGACCAGGGCAAAAGAGACAATAAGCGGTAAGCCCATACAGCCCTCATCTAGTCTGAATTTTAAGAGTAATTCTTCATACAAGTGTGGTGAGAAACGCTGTAGTGCAAAGGACGCGTTCAGTTATATATTACACTAAGGTCAATACTAAGAATGTCGATAAACTCCGTCTGTCAGTGACGCTCGTGCCGGGATGAACTGAGGAGTGTGGGGGTGAACAATGTTGATTTGATAGTGTATTACTGAGCTTTAATAACAGTCTTTGAACACGTATTCAAGGATAGTGCATACACTAGTCATCAGAGTGGAAACTAAAAGGTATACATACTGTACATCCCTCTCCGGTGAGTGAGAGCAAAGATCTCAGTGGTAGAGAAGTCAGGGAAGATGGTTACACAACTGATTAAAACTCTACTGCAATAACAGGACAACACCATAACTGTGACGTAACAAAAGGAATTATTCTCGGCCAGGTATTGCTTATACCCGTCCGAAGAAAAATCTCAAGTTACATAACTTGTGACATCGTTTGCATGAATAACTTTTGCACTTAAGTGTAGTCCTTACGAGAAACGCTTTGATATTATTGCCAGCGACGGAGCACAATATTACTGCGCCCAAACAAAGAATTTAGTTAACCTTGTTCACATAAAATATTTTTTTTTAAATAATTGCAGCGGGCATCAGTGACTATCTGCAACACAGAATGGATATTTAAATCTTCTTTATATGTAATGCTTCAGAATAAGCTGGTTGAAAATAAGTGTGAACATACAGTATGCGAGTGAGCAAAGGAGTACAATTACAGAATCACATGTGATAAATTTGTCAGTGATGTAGCACATGGTGTTAAGGGCCCAGCCAGGGTGTGGAGGAGCTGCGCCAGCAAGCCAGGCGTCAGGCAATGGATCAGCTTCCTGACGGAGGAGCAGAATAAACACATCCTGGCTTGGGCCGAGACGCTCATCATGATTATGCAAAGCTGCACACAGCCAAACACCACCTCGGAGTCGTATGAATAAACAGAATGCATATAAGCACATGTGCTAGTCATTTATGCCAACACGGGCATCCTAACGCCGTCACCAAGTGGGGTGTTCTTCTGGTCAACACATTGTTTATGTGCAGTGTGTTGGTTTTGGACGGGTGGTGGACTAATAAGGGTTCAGGTCTCTGGGCCATTATTCTTGTCATTTCACCCTAGAATATTTATAAATAACTTCACTATAAGTAAAAGTTGTGTTAGACCCAACAGCCACCACACTCATGAGTTCTTCTCACCAAATATCACCGTAATCCTGTACTGGTCAACACAACAATTCTCCGACTCCTTCAGTACAGAGACATAAGGCTGGATGACGCAGACTGGTTTCATATAAACATTGCCTAAGGGATGAAATTAACGGCACTGTAATACTAGTCAGAACGAAACCCAAATTAACGAACTGAAGCACACAACGGTTGGACGAACAGGTAAACCATAAAAGTGTGTTGTAAATATTGTTGAAGTGTAAGTACAGAATACAAATGAATTTTTTGTTTTAGTTACGTTTATATCTGGTGAGCGGTAATGTCCCAGCGCTATCTGTGGCCCCATAACACCCCGGCAGCCCTGCACGTTGGAGACGGTCCAGCAGGATGCTGCCTCGCCCTGACTGCAGAAGGCTCCTCGCATTACACACCCATTTATATGTACCATGCATCTTCAGTGAGCCAACTGCGCACTCCCACCTTGCAGTATGTGTTAACTGTATAAAGTACATCTAACATTACCTCCTAACATGTTCCCAACTCAAACATACACCAACGAGACTTCCATTCACCCATACTGTACTTAAAAGCCCCAAAGAGGGAGGGCCACCTGCACCTATTACCCCTGGTTCTCCTCATACAGGATGTGGCTACACACTCACACTCGCCAGCCATTCATTTTTGCTAGAGCCGAATATACACGGTCAGTTTACAGAATATGCTGCCTTCTATTGCGCGACTGTTGCAGACATATCACACAAGAGCAGAGAGCCTCAGAGTGCGACACTGTATACGCTATTTGGTTTTGTTTTCTTAAGAAAAATTTCATTGTTCTCTTTGCTGTTTTAGTTACTTTGAAAACAGGCGAGTCATACCTGGTTTTCTAACGAATTTAAGGTAAAGAGCTGGCCCGGGACAGAAGCAACATTATTATCAGTTAACCTTTACATATCTTAATATACTCTGAAAATCATGTAAAAAAGAACCAAGCACCACCATAATGGCCACATTAGAGTCACTGGTCTACTTGCATCACGCCACATGACTTGGCGTTCATCTGCTACTCCGACCAAGTGACGTGACAGGGAACATTAATTTGGCCAACCGCGTCCCACTATTACATACTCCCACTGGCTCAGAGCCATGTGACGACTATTTCATAAAGTTTATGTAAGTTTCCTCTGTTCATAGATATGATGTATATATGAAAAAATAAAAACTTTGACAAAAACGGAGTCTCAAACGAGGCTAAACGTTCACAAAGAACAATTCCCTTTAGCAACAGTTCATTATAACTCATAAGGCGTCGACAGTTACATGGTTGTTTGTGTATATACAGTATATCTAATGTAGCTGTGAGGTGAACGGCTTTTGTGTGGTAGTGTATTCATCTCGGTGTCACCATTTAAGGATGTGGGACTGGAACTACAGGGCAGGTATGGAAATGCTTCAGGTTACTTTAATATACCACGCTTAGAAAAATAATTAAAAACATCGGAACAAAGAAAATGAAAATGAACACACATATACACAATCGTTCTAGCAATGTGCAGTGCTGTGGGTTGTTCTAGGTGCCGAGTAGTGCTGTGTGCTGAAAAGGTTAGTGTGCTGCGTGCTTATCTGGTGCTTTGTGCGAACACAACTCTAACATATTGAGACTTAACACTCCTCCATAATAAACTATTCTTGTTCACACTACAATTGGCTAAAGACATCTGCATGTGTGGGGGTAAAAACTGGCCCCTAATATTTGTAAACGCATTATTAACGAGGCTACCACTTGAACTATCGTCTCCACGATCACAACACGAGTGACCAGTGTTACAACTACTGTATTCCACTAAGCATTAAATCTCGCTGTACTAGAACCAGCCAGCACTTGAACCGCCTGAAAGTGAACCAGATGATTCAGTACCGCTTAAATCTAGTCCAACAACTTCATCCACAAGAGGAAACACGCCGCGCACCACGTCACACGAGTAATCATCGTACATCAACAGCAACAAATGGAGGTTCAAGTAGTATATATATATATATATATATATATATATATATATATATATATATATATATATATATATATATATATATATATATATATATATATATATATATAAATTATCATAAGAAAAAAATTTGCACAACAAAAAATGTAAAATGTCGAATGAATTCTCTGAAGCAATGCAGGAAACAATGTCAAACGGCGTCTCACTTTAAAAAAATCTAAAGAAAATGAATGGAACAATTAGATCAGTAATATTAAACTAGAGAAAGTAGTAACACTAGTAATACAAAATTTAACATGGATATAGAATACATAATAAAAGATGTTTCAAAATTATATAAAAATATTAAGATACAGAAATATTTACAAGAATAAAAGTATATAACATTTGGATAAGGAAAATATGCATAGAAAAATATAAGATGTGGGAATTAATAAACAATATTAGTAATTATAAACATATTTATACATCATTAGTTAAGGATATTCTAGATTCTGATTTCAACAACTCCTTCATGCAAGTCGGGAAGTGGCGAAAGAATTAGAGAAAACAAAATCCCCGAAGATTAAAAAAAAAAAAAAAAACATACTAAGGCAAAACATTATAACAAGAAAATACAAGTGATATATATATATATATATATATATATATATATATATATATATATATATATATATATATATATATATATATTATAGATATATATTATAGATTATATATATATATATATATATATATATATATATATATATATATATATATATATATTACTCAAACAGTGAAAAACAAACTACTGTATTGTAACCGTTAAAAAAATTGGGGAAACTAAATTACAAGTTAAAATTGAAATAATCTGTTTAAAACTTGAAAAAACTTCTTTAATTCCCATGATACGTCAACTCTCACAAAATAGCAAAAAATTAAAATTGAGAATAAATAAGAAAAATATCAATCAGGGAAAAAATTAATGCAACGTAAACAACATCACCAGTCAACGCAAAGACTACCACTCACCACAGCCACGGCCTTGGAGCCCAGCACTTCGGCAGGTGACAGGGTGGTGAAGAATGCAACGTTGGCGAGCACGTAGACAACGGTTACCAAGGAGATGGAGATGTAGATAGCCTTAGGTAAGTTTCTGTTAGAGAGAAAGGCGTGGGTTTATTAATATGTTTTACACTTCTACTTCCGCCCATCAATCTATAAGCCTAAAAAACCTATTTCCGTCAAGTTTATCCAAAGAGTTTGTCAATTACTGTCTAGAATATGTATTGTACCTCCATAACCGCACATGGGTTGATGGTAACACGTAAATAAGTTATGGAGTAACTACAACTAAAGTTAGAGGCAGACATGAGGGAGGGGAGGAATTTTAAACATTTACTGTAATAAAGCAACTGTATCATATTGTATTCGGTGCATAACATTAAACAAAACTCTATGGTTGTGTCATGGTGTTCAACTACTGTAGCCAAGAAACTAGAAGGATTATGACCTTTATATCCGGCACCAGTTTACCTGAAGAATTTTTGCACCTGTCCTGCCGTCCTAACCTCTAATGGAACCAAAATAAAGATTGTTGGCGGGCGTGAGGAGCCTGCTGAAGGACACTGAGTTAACACACGGGGACGACCCAAGCTTAAATTACCGTATGTAAACATCCTCTACCATTGCCAGCACTCATCAAACTATCTCTGTCTCTCACCCCCCAATCCTCTCCCCCTTCTTCGTTCCTCCTCCTAATAATTCTTGCTTTTATTTTTGTTCCCCTTATTCACTTTTCTTCTCCCTTTCTTTCTATTCCCTCTCTCGTCATTATTGCTTCTCATTTTTCCTTCTCTTTCCCATTCTTCTCCTCTACTTCCCATCCCACCATTCTCATATACGCTCTCCCCTACCCTACCCCCTCCACCTCAACCTAAATTTCCGCCAGCAGATCGACGCTTTAAGATAGGTCGCATCTACATCGACTTTTTCCTATACGACAAAATCATCCCAGCCTTTGTTTACATACAGACGGCCTTGGAATATAAGTTAATGAGTACTTTACCACTTTGGGGAAACAAACTCAAAACATTATGGCATTTACTGGGGAACGACATTCTTTAAACATTCCTACTTCCATTACTGGGGAACAACATTCTTTAAACATTATTACTTCGGTTTATCCCCTAATGATAAGGAGACGAGCATAATTTAGTGTGAAATCACGCGCCATTTTGAATCCATTTCGGTTTCATTACAGCATCGTAGCCTAAATAACCTTCCTAGCCAGATGCGTCACAGAATTTAGGAATACGTCACAGAAAAAAGCCGCCTAACCAATCGTAAAGCGAATAAATGTGACGTCACTAACCAATCACTATGGCTTAGCCAATCACGGAGAATAAAACCAAGTCACTAAACAAAAAAATACAACAAAACCAATCACAGGGCGAACGAACGACTATGACGCCATCAAGTGCTATCTGATTGGTTAGATTACAGAGCTCAAGCCCTGAGAGTGGTTTAGACGAAAATATGTTGACATTTTATGCTCAAACAACTTAAAAAAAATACTTATTATATATTCTTTCCTCACAAGTAACTAATCAAGGGAGTGAAAGGGCGCGACTACCAATTATGGATCTGTTTACAAGTTTATAAAATCCATCTCCAAACATCATCCAAGTTCCTTCAAAAGATCGACACTCAATTACCAAAGTATTCAAAACACACACACACACACATAATAATAAAGCCGCTACATTTTTTCATAAGATATTTATTCTTTTTGACCAACGATGCACATTTTATATCCACAGGAAAATCATGAACGAAAAATTATGCCCACGGTTATTTTGACGGTGTTTGACGGTGAGGTTATATATATCTGCCCTGGGTCTTATTGTGAGAGTGGGGACTAGGGGGCAGGGACGTGTGGATGAGGGAGGAGAGAATGTGTGGATATGGGGAGAGAGAATGTGTGGATGGGGGGACAGGAGGATTAGTGGATGAGGGAAGGGTGTCATGGATTAGGGGTGAAAGAGGATGTGTGGATTGGGTGAAGGGATTAAGGAGTGGGGATGGTGTGGATAGGGGGAAGGATGTGTGGATAGAGGGATTGGGTGAAGGGATTAAGGAGTGGGGATGGGGGTGAAGGGATTAAGGAGTGGGATGGGGGTGAAGGGATTAAGGAGTGGGGATGGGTGAGTGGGATGGGGGGGAAGGGGGGGGGGGGGTGGGGTGGGATTGGAGGGATAGGGGGATTAAGGAGGATGGGGTGAAGGGATTAAGGAGTGGGGATAGGGGTGAAGGGATTAAGGAGTGAGGATAGGGGTGAAGGGATTAAGGAGTGGGGATAGGTGAGTAAGGTGTGGTCATGACAGATGGGGATGGATGGTCACCTGTACTCTCCTCTCCTTACCTGTCATACTCAGTCACATGATTGGCACCGTCGGTAATGGCACAGGGAGGGGGGGGGTCTAATTGGTTTGATGCCCAGATGCCAAGAAAATGCATTTTGAGACTATCACATGAGACCACAAGTGCCAACCTAACTGCCCCATAACAACAGCGGTGCCAATGTGACCACAACACCAGTGCCACCCCGTCAAAGGTATGGGCCGAGTCAAAAAAAGGTGTTACTAAATTGAGATGTGTGGCTGCATTAAACTGGTTCACTACGTTACAATATCAATATGGCGGCCAAAGTGACTTGGAAATAACACCCGAGACTAAAATAATGACTGGTGGAGGACACAGCACCAGTCACTCACACCACGAGAAAGGTTACCATGTGTTCTGGTCTGGGTTGAGAGGAGAACACTTTCTTGAATCTATTTGTTTTTGTTTTTCTCCCGATAAACCAAACTGGTGTATATAGAGACGATCATGTTGTAAGCGGATCAAAATATGAATCTACTTTAACTTTACGTAACAATAACAGACTACGAATGACTCCAACGACGTACACCCCCCCCCCTCCCCCTTACCCTCTCCACACTCCCTCCTTCCCTCACCCCACCTCGGCGTCAGAGGGGTGTGCGTCACAGGCAACGACCCCTTACATCATGCGTTCGTGTCTGAACCCTTGGCAGACACTACAGAGAAATCGCGTTCTCCTTCGTGCTACACTTGGCTAGGCGAGTTACTCTTAATAGTTACTACACTTCATTTCTCTTATATTAGTCTTTCTTCATTGTCTTCTTTATTCTTATTCTTCCCTCTCCATCTTCCATTCCTCCCGTTTTTTTCTTATTTTCCCCCATCTTCCTTTTTTCCTTCATTTTCCTCCTTTCTACCTCCTCATTTATCACTTTCTTCCTTCTTCACCTTTCATCTTTACTTCTTCCTTTCTTCTCCTTCCCTCATCTACCCTCTCTTTCTTTATCATTATTCATCTCTTCCATATCATCCTTCCCTTCCTTCTTCTCTTCCATCTCATCCTCCTCTTCCACCCCCCTCTGATCGCCGTAGAGAACAGGGAACATTTACAGCGACACCTAAAATTAGACACCCCAGTTTATTTCACCTGAAGACTAACGCTAAACTAATCTAACCCTCCAGGTGGGGATAGGGTGGTTAATCTTCTGGGGGACTAATCTTAAGGTGATTCAAAATATTTACTCGACCTAGAGGAAGATCTATAACACACTCAAGAGAGGCAGGTATCTGAAGCCTTATCGCCGTACATACTAAGCATCTCATTATTACCACACACACACACACACACACACACACACACACACACACACACACACGTAATCTACTGTGAATTACCTTTCTGTGTGTGCGACAATTCAGATCGGGTCTGTTCTGAGTAGAGCTAAACCTTACTTCAATCTTCATTAACTTTACGAGGCAACTCAGGAACTACACACGATGAGCTGTGTGTATGTATGAGGTGAATGTATGAGGTGAATGTGTGAGGTGAATGTATGAGGTGAATGTGTGAGGTGAATGTGTGAGGTGAATGTATGAGGTGAATGTGTGAGGTGAATGTGTGAGGTGAATGTGTGAGGTGAATGTGTGAGGTGAATGTATGAGGTGAATGTGTGAGGTGAATGTGTGAGCGTGCGTAAATTTGTGTATACTATAGTGGTGTATGAATGTAAACACGAGAGAATGTACATTGTGTTCATGTCCTTGCATATGTTCAAGGGCGAGACCTGACACACACACACTGGTGGTCTACGGAGAGAGAGAGAGAGAGAGAGAGAGAGAGAGAGAGAGAGAGAGAGACCGAATTTCACCTCTATTTACGTAAAGTCTTTCCCCCAGTTAGGAAGGAAGAGGAGGAAAGAAGAGAGGGTAGGAGGGAAGAGAAGGTAGATGAGAGAAGAAAGAAAGTAAAGATGAGAAGGGATAAGAAAGGGTGATAACTGAGGAGGTAGAATGGGGGTAAATGAAGAAAAAAAAGACGAGGAAATAAGAAAAAATAAAGTGGAAGGTGAAGAAGGAAGAAGAAAATAAATAAATATGAATGGACAAGAAAGAAGCGTAGGAGTAAAGAATGCCAAAGAAGAAAGGCCATCCACTTTCCTCAACTATTTTCCCCTATCTCCCTCCCTACCTACTCTCCCCCCATCGCCCTCCCTCCCTACCTACTCTCCCCTCCCTCCCCCCATCTCCTCCCTACCTACCCTCTCCCCCATCTCCCTCCCTCCCCACCTACAATTTACCTCCCTACCTACTCTCCCCCCATCCCCCTCTCCTTTACTTCCCCTATCTCTCTCTTTCCACGCCTACTTTCCCCACTACTTACCTCCTAAATTACTCTCCCCTACTTACCTCCCCTCCTCACCTATTTTACCTACTTTCCTCTCCAATTACTCCTTTTCTACCTACTCGCCACCTCCCCTTTAACCTAATCTCTTCCCTCCTCCACCACTCCCTAGCCATCCTCTCCCCTCTCTCTTCCTTCATACCTCCCTCGATTCCTCTTCCCCCCTTACCCCCTCTCCCTCCCCCACCCCCCATCACCAAAACATTCAGACGACCAACTCACCATTCGTCTGATCTCAAAAGTACTACCACCCCTACATCAATAGTGCTAACCCACATCATACCACAAGGCCGACGCGCCTATCCACCACATAACACCTTTCTGACCCTTAAGGACCCAGGCTGTCAGAACTGTATGACTTGATTATATTGTCCTGTATCTAAGAGTCGTTTAGAGGGGCTGGCGTGCAAGTCATAGTAACCCAGGATCGAGTTTAAGTAATGGTACCCTGTTTTGTATTCTATATTGGCACTATGATAGAGCCCTGGCACTCTATTGCTACTCTATAATGGTGTATTCGCTATTGGCACTTTGATAGAACCATGACACTATATTGCTACTCTATAATGGCACTTTTACAGATAACAATTAGCCAGTACTCTCAGTTTTGGTACCTAGACAATACATCTCTACAATGCCGCTAAGATACCACTCCCATGACCCCAATCCGTGCTCTCAATAATGGCACCCCCAGAAAAAGATTCCCCCCCCCCCACACACACACACACTCAGAAGACGAACCTTGACGATGGCACCGATCACTGGCACTCATGTATGATGGATTATTCTCAGTACACAATGGGGGCACTTCATTATGGCACTGGGTAATGGCACACCGTGATGGCGCACGCACTAAAGGAACACACAAGGCCTCTATCCATTTACCATCTATCCATCAATCTACTATTTATCCATCTATCTACTATCTCCTTATAACCAAATCTACTTCTCTATCTATCCATCCATCTATCTAGCCATCCACCTATATATCTATCTATCAAGCAATCCACCTACCTATCTATCCATCCATCTATCATCTATCTAGTCATCCACCTATCTATCCATCCATCTATCATCTATCTAGTCATCCACCTATATATCTGTCTATCCATCCATCTATCATGTCATCCACCTATATATCTATATACAGTATCTAGCCATCCACCTATCTATCTATCACCTGCCCATCTATCTATCCACTACGTTCTTCCACCTCATCTTAGACAGTGATCAATTCATCAACTCCACAACATAACTTCACGCTGCCAGACACCATCAGAGGACCTACTTGACGGGGTCCTTGAGCTCCTCTATCACGAAGTTGAGATAGTTCCTGTAGGAGAGAGAGAGAGAGAGCGTTAGTATACTTGGTTGATGGTATGACTGTGCTTCAATAACTTATGGTCTTAAGTGCTTCAGTAACTATGGTCTTAAGTGCTTCAGTAACTATGGTCTTAAGTGCTTCAGTAACTATGGTCTTTAAGTGATTCAATAACTATGGTGTTTTAGTGCTTCAATAACTTATGGTCTTAAGTGCTTCAGTAACTATGGTCTTAAGTGCTTCAGTAACTATGGTCTTTAAGTGATTCAATAACTATGGTGTTTTAGTGCTTCAATAACTTATGGTCTTAAGTGCCTCAGTAACTATGGTCTTAAGTGCTTCAGTAACTATGGTCTTTAAGTGCTTCAATAACTATGGTCTTCAAGTGCATTAAGGTAATTAATGACACTAGTCCATCAACAATTAAAAACTGAAGACTTATATAAACTAATCAAGTCTTTTTCACAGTAAATCATAATAACTCAGACTTAACCTGGAAAGTAATGAAAGTATATAAACTATACAAATTATATACCAGTGCTTTCAAGGTATTAATATATAACACACACCAACCATAACGTTCAGACGGAAACTGTTACGGGTATTCAGAACTGCCGTAACGTAACAAAATAGATAAACCAAGAAGTTGATTGAGTCACCATACACAGCGTCGTTGCCTCAAAGATTGGTGGAGCAAGTTGGTAATATCATCAGCTATTATCATTACTATTATTATCACAGTGGTAGTTAATTTATGGTACACGTGACCTCAGCACACCCACCACCACGTCAAGACCTCACATGCTGTACGTCACAGGACAGAAAACGCGACTTTAATTCCCCCGCTCACACCACACCACCCCCGTGGCGTCACACGAGACTCCTCCCACACACACATCGTCTCCAACACTCTGACGTCACCTTTAAACTCCTCCCACACGATGACGCCATATTTTAAACTCCTCCCACAGAATGACGTCACGGGCGTATTCGCACTGTTTCCTTTGCGCCAAACTGCCCAAGACATACAATATACATCATCAGAAACATCGATGGTTCCACTGTACTTAACTACGAATCTAGTTTACAGTAAAACAATGTGATAAGAACTTGAGATAGACTATCAACCACGTTCAGTATTTGTTTACAACCGACTTACCAAAAAAAAAAAAAATGAGATAATGTTAAACCGTTTTCTGTGATAGAGCGTTTTACAATTACGTGTTTCATTTTCCATTAACCACGCAAAAAAAAAAATATATATTAGTATATCGTATAACCACAAGCTCGCTACCCTGTACATCATCACCATATACAGTGAGGTAATAGAATATATTAGTGGTGTTGAGAATCGTCACTGGTCGCGCTGCCAAAATCCCTCCCATTGTGAAACATTTTGGCGCCAACGTAAATTCTCAAGCAAATTCCGTTCTTGAGTTCCATCTAACACTGACATTTCATTTTCTAGCCTCGCAAGTGACAACACAATAACTGTACAGAACTGTCTACGTATATTAAGTTATGTTTAGCTCTCTCTTTAAGGCTTGGGAGTGTTCACAAGACCTCGCACGATATTACATACAAACACACAACAAAAGAACTTAAAGACGTAACAATATATGGTAATTTAGGTCAACAATTCTACAGGAACGATAATAATATAACTGCAATGTAAGCACTGATAATGGTGATAGAAACAACAATAATAATAATAATACAGAAATAATAATAATAATGGTGCCAATAATAATAATATAGTAATGATAACAATAATATTAGCGACAATAATAATAATAAATAATAAACCATAACAAATAGTAACAAAAGCGGCAGTGCGGCCCAGCGAACAACAAAATTGAACCTCACTTGAAACTCTCTCAAACACACGGCCAAGTTCCTCAAGTTTAAAGTCACTCCTCGTGTTGCTGTGGAGGACGACACAAGCTCCTCCTCCACCACAACGGGGAGGGGGGGGGGGCTTAAAATAGGCTAAAGGGGGTAATATGGCCTGGAGTATAACAGTAAGTTTATTATTTTTTCTTGAATAATAAGAAAGGTAAAGGGAAACGTTTAAGGTAATTTTGTCTGTGCTGAATATATTTTGCATCACATTAACTATCCTTCCGCTAACCTAACCATTAACCTAGCCTAAACCCTCAATTTTCAAACTCTAAGGTAACAAGACGCCAATTCTCAAACACTGGGGGATGAGGGGACGAATTTTGCTTAGGGTAGAGTCTCAGTGCAATTCTGACGTCATATTAACTACCATCGTTATACCGTTCGCTGCTTCTTCGTCCTCTTGTTTGGATACAATTCAGTGCTTCATTTACCAAGGTCTTGAAGCATGTGAATACGCCCACATTTTTAAGACAACTAGCAAAATGTAATTGGAATCACCTGATGATTAACCACCCGAGCTTATTTCACCTGATAATTAAACTTCCTAATGTCGCCGGGATGTTTGGTTTGGTTAGGTTAACTTAGGCTAGTTTAAGTTAGATTAGGTTAGGGTATTTTAGGTTAGGTTAGGATATGTTAAGGTATTTTAAGTTAGGTTAGGGTATTTTAGGTTAGCTTATGTTAGGTTAGGACATGTTAGGGTATTTTAAGTTAGGACATGTTAGGGTATTTTAAGTTAGGATATGTTAGGGCATTTTAGGTTATGTTATGTTAGGATAGGAAGGAAATTAAAGAAAAGCAAGACCATTGAATAAAAAAATATATATTTACAAAGTCAATATTTTTTCTGGAGAATCCGACCAAGATGCACACAAAGGGGAACCAGAGGACCTCCACTTTCATCTTGCTGGAGAGGAAGAGTCCACATCTCCCGTCTTACTGGGGAGTGGGGAGTGTGGGGGAGTGGGGAGTGTGGGGGGAGTGGGGAGTGTGGGGGGGGGGGAGTGGGGTGGGGGGAGTGTGGGGGTGTGGGGAGTGGGGTGTGTGGTGTGGAGGTGGGGGGGTGGGGGAGGGGGGGGGGGGGTGTGGGGGAGTGTGGGGTGTAAGGAGTGGGGGGTGGGGTGTGGAGCGTGGGGAGGGTGCGGAGTAAGTGGGGGAATGTTTGGGACGAGTGGGGAGTAAATGGAGTGGGTGAAGACTGGGGAGTGGGTGTGTACTGTATGTGTGTGGAGAAGACAGCCGATTACAACTGCCCGCCATAAGGCCTCACCAATGAGAGAGAGAGAGAGAGAGAGAGAGAGAGAGAGAGAGAGAGAGACCGAGACCACAAATGCTAACCTCTTATCACCAAACCGTAAAAAAATAATAATTCCTTCACCAAAAGTGTAAAACACAATCTAAAAAATAAATAAATAAATAAATAAATAAATAATACACAACCTTTCAACAATACTAACCGTATCTTTAGAAAACTCCAGTGATATACAGTATATCCCAAGACGCCAAAACTTTAAACATTAACAAATAAAACTTTATATTATCTCCGGACGAAATCTAAACCGTGGGAACATGTTGATAGCCGTATTGTAGCTAAGAAAAAATAAGATATGTGGAGGGAGACAGAGAGAGAGAGGTGGTCGAGACGCAGTGTACAGGACAGGGCATTGTGACTGTTTTACCCGCACGTCTCGCCGCGCGGCCTGACCCCCGAGAGATAAATGTTTCTCCCAGAGCGTGACGAGACCCACTGATGACATGGCGGGCTCACGGAGAGATTAAGGGAGGGAGGGCAGGGAGGAGAGAGGGTGAGAGACAGGATAGACAGAGGAAGGGAGAGTCACGATAGACAGGGAGGAAGGGCGAGGGAGGTTGAGAGAGGATAGACAGGAAAGAAAGGAGGGAGGGGGAGGGAAGAGAGGAAGAGAAACAGATACAGTAGTAGTAGTCACAGGACACTCTGGCTACCGTCACTGTACCAAAGTCTCAAGACGTAAATTCCTGCACTAAACTACACACAAGTCGTGGTGTATCTGTCAACCTTGTTAACCGGCGTGTACCTCGTTCCGTGTTATTGAATTTCTGGGGCTGTCAGCCAGAGTGAAGAGGCCCGTAATTATGTAAGAAACTGATGACTATTCATAAGCCAGTTCCCCATCACGATCCTTCATTTTTATTCATCCATTATCCTGTAAATAACTCCTGGCAATCCAATTACAAAAATTAAACTTGATTAAAAGCTTCAATACACTACTAGTATAAGCCTTGGTGTGTAAGCTATAGTATACTCTTCAAGTTCAAATGTCATATAATTATTATTTTTTAATTCTAATTACCGGATGGGTGGCGAGAGCGGAATACCTCGAAGCCTTTTAATTTTCCAACCATTTTTTTCATTTTCAGAAGTTTAAATGACGCATGGGAGAGCTGGATTGGTCACCATAGCAACCACACGACGACCGGCGCCTTCCTTCACGCACCCGTCCAAAATAATCCTTAAATGTACCGGAAATTAGGGCGATACTCCCTTGATCTGCAACCCAGAGCCTGCGCCCCAAAGGCCCCGAGTCTTCCTTGCATAGAGATCTGCCTCGTGGAAATCCGGACATTTTGTGGGTAATGACAATATAGGCTGTGTCCGTCCTTTCATCCATATTCCCGCCACAATTCGAGGGTTTGAAACCAGGGTAACGACACTGCTCTTAAACAAGGCTTCCTGACCCACATCTTTAACAAACATGCCAATTAGGTATTTAACAATGATAATAATTAATTGCTAGTTGTATATATTTGTCTGATATAAGACCTACTCTGATAATGGCATGTCACCCCTCGCTGCTAAGTTAATCTACTGAACGGGGCCAACATGTGGAATGAAAATAAAAGGCAACTTCAACTCTTCTTAGAAAATAAAGAAAAAAGATTATCACCATCATTGTGCCCTCGGATGAACAAAGGCATTATTAATTCTCTTCCTAGTGTGTACATTATAATAATTAACTCTCACAAGAATTTTTTACCCCAGGACGAACGTTATTAAAATCTAACGCGGATGGAGAAACTATTTTCTCCCAGTATTAACAAGCATCACAAGTGTTAAGAAAAACACGCGG